TATATATATATATATAATCATGATGGAAATATTTTTCTCAAAAATCACATTTTTAGTTCCCTGGTTCAGTAATAGGGGGGTTTCCTTTCAATTGACTGAAGTTTGATTGTTTCCACTGAACATCAATCACCTGGATTTTCTGATATTATCAGTAACGTGCTGAAGGTTATTAAGGACAGCGTTCTGCAGACTAACAGTAGTGTTTCCTACCACTGACTCTTGGTTCACTCACTTCACTTCCCCTTCCTCCTCAAAATTACTTCCCCAGGGGAAAACATAAGCTTGTTTTGAGGCCAGGGAGAACTGACCACCAAAGCATTAAGCAACTTTTCAAAAGGTCTGCTGAAAAGGCATAGCAATGCAACAGAAGTTACACAGAGCCTACTAAGCCACATTTGCACACAACCCACAATACAAAGAGCTTTGTGAAGCAAGATTTTTTTTTTTATTTATAGAGTTGTCTAAATTTGCTTTTAGAAGGCACACACGTAACTATGTAATTCTCTCCCTTCCTCTCCATCTCCTTGGCTCATGCCCATAGTCCTCTGTCAGGACTGTGAATGAGTGCTGAGGAACCAAATACTGTTCAGCACACTGCTGTACACAGACACACAGGCTCACACCTACGTCTCATGCTGAAAACAACAAAGCAGTGTGACAGTCTGAAGTGATTATTCTCAGAACAAAGTCTTGAGCACTCTTATATGCTTTAGGGCTAGGGAATGCTGCCTGGATGAGGGTGACAGAACAAACACTTCCTATTTTTACCTCATCCGTTTACAAGAATACAGTGATTGCCTGCATTTGCTCCTGCCCTGGAAAGCAGTATTTTGGTTTTATTTCTGGTTAGTCCAGTGCTAAGTTACAAAATGGTGCATTAAAAAAAAAAAAAGGGGGGGGGCAAAAAAAAGGGCAAAAAAAAAAAAAAAGCAGCAGCGCCCTTTACAGCCTCCTGGTGAGTAACTATCCTATATTTCTTGCTAAGGACACCAGGCGTCCTTTCTTTTAAAGGCACTAACTAGCATTCAGCAGCAAGAAGCAGCTCACTTTTAAAGGTTCTTTCTCTGAGGGATCCCCTGTGTTATCACTGGTCTTGTATTTGCGTTCCTTGTCCCGGTGATCGATGGTGGAGTACCCATCTGAGGAGAAATAATATGACAGTCAGGAATGAAACACAAATAAGAACAAAACCAGAGCTGATGCTAGCAAAATTCTTCAGCAAAGAAACAGGAAAATAAACTATCACAACCTGAAGATGCTGGCAGCCTGCTTTTCACATGTGCTCCAGCTCTGAAATTTCATTTTTACCAGCTTAAAACAAAACAGAAAAGCCCTCTTTTTATATCACTGCCAGATGCTGGCACTCATTAGCAAGCAGCACTGTTTTCATCTCAGTCTGCTGCAGTTTTTAGTGTGCCCAAGGAAAGCAGCAAGTTGTCATCTTGCACCCTGTGGCTAATGAGCTCCAAATTCAGCCCAAACCTTGTGTTCCTTGCTTAGCTGCCTGATTAATTGGCTGTGTTCATTCTTTGAATGCTCTGCAGCATGTTCCCACTCTTCCTGAGCCTGACTACTAGCAGGACATGACAATAATTTGGAAGAGTCTCTTTCAGAGCACTGAGAAAAAGGGCCTGTTGAGTTGGAAGAAATCTTGATGCAAATCCTGCCGTGCTTGGACTATCTTTCATTATAAAGTAGCATTATAAAGTTGGTAGTTTTGCTCCTGACAACTAAGAAACTTTGAAATTGTGATGAACACAAGGAAGAAAAGTATGAGAGGATTTTATAAAGAAATGGCTCTAATTATTTCAGAACCTTTGCTTTGAATCATTGTCAGCCAATGCAAATCTTAATTTGATGCATCAAATCTCCTCATTATCCATGACAAATAGATCCTCTCCTGCTCTGCTTTGACAGCATTGTAATCTGGAATAAACGACACTCAAATTTATAGTTCCCTGTAGGCTTTTGTTTTCCCCTATGTAATTGAGGGATCATTAATGTTTTCAGGTCCTGACAAACTGGGTTCTTAGAATACCACAAAAAGGTTTTACATAAACTATCAAAATGCTCCTCTCTTGGTTTATTACTTGCCTGCAACAGGTCGTTAAGAAAAAGTCAGTCATGTTTTTTGTGAGGTTCCCATGGTATGAAGAGGCACTGTTTGCTCACGTGACAAAAGCACATGCAGTAGTGACTTGTACCAAACACAGTCACAGAGCAGGGTCCTAAATGATGTTTATGCTGCCCACAGCCAGGTTTGTTTTAAGAGAGCTGTAGTTTTTCTATGTACCTCATGAATCAAAGTGCACACAGACCTGCAATGAGCAGCTGAAGTAGCATATATTTATGACATCACAGATAGTAACAGATTATTTAACCATGCTGCCTAAAAATAACTAAAGAATTTTGGAGTTATACATGTAGTACACAGGTCTTAAAGCATGAAAATAATTGCTACACAGAGCTTTACTTACAATTATTTGCTGACAGTGAAAATGCCTAACATTCTTGGCTATCCTTTCAAACAAGAAGAAAAAACCTAAAGCCTACCAGCTGCATCCAGCCACCCAGCCAGCATTTGTGGAGGAATGCATGACCAATAATTCTCTTTCAAATGACAGGCATGAATACTGCTAGTAAGTCATATCCTAATCTAAAGATTCAACATTTATTTAGGAGTAAATAGTTCACACAGGTATGTGTTTAAATGATGGAAACATGCTCACTCCCCAAAAAATCAAACTCACAATAACTAAGCGGTAGCTTTTTACAATCTAATATTAATTATACTCACAATGCTGTAATGGAACACTTTGCATTTTTGTGGTGCTATCATCATGGGTGATCCACAAACATTTTTTAAATGAATTGCCAAGATACAAAGGAAACATTTAACCTATGCCCAGAAAGTAACAGCTGCTATGTGAAGTATGGCAGCCCTGATACTTCCCAGGGAGCAAGGTTAGAAGTAAGGACTGTAATCACAAAAAATTAAAAGCACCACAGATCTTTAATACTACTAAAAAAACCCCCACAAAACCCCACGCTTAGTCAGGACAGTAGCAACAGGATGATCAAGCTTTTGCACAGGGGCAGTCATCTAACAACAAAGAACGGTCAAGAACTTTGTTCTTCATTATCTAAGTTCCAACCTGTTTTGCAATTCATACTGTCAGCCCACTGTTGTGTGGTCTGCATGCTGACGGTGCTGCACACATCAGCACTAATGGATTATGTGTTTCTAAAAACCACACACTGTGCTATGAGTCTGTCAAGATAAGCAGGAGCAGAGACAGGAAGTTCATTGTTTGACCTAATAAAATGAGAAATATCTTGAAGGAGGCTGCATCAGAGAAGTAACACCTTAGTGCAGTGCCTCAAGGACCACAGCTCTCCAAAGAAACTAATGAGTACTGTTTCTCCCATGTTTCAGATTCATTCTAAAAAGTGATGTGAATTAACTCTCCTTCTGTGGCATTGAGGAGACCTATACAGATCTTAACTGCTCCAGGATATAAAAGTGCATAATTCTGATTTAATACAATCCAATGTATAGACAAAAGTTGTATTGGTCAATAGAGGCACATCCCATTCTTGGCTTTTTTATTCCTCTCAACTTTCTGCTTGTTTTTTTCTGTATTGCTTCACTCAGTATCTCCCATTCACTCTGCAGCAACATTTTTATGTCCTGTAACAGATTACAGGACCAAATGCCTGGTGAATGTCAGTCCATCCGGGCCCTCACACTGCACTCAACTTATAAAGATCAAACTTCGGGACCCATCAGAAAGGAGGAGGAAGAAAAAGGAAGTAATTCCTGAAGATGGGCATGTAGGACAGGGGCATCCGAACTATGTGTCTATGGTCTGAGCAATTCTCAGCTCCCAGATGTTCTCATCTGAATGACTGTAGGTTAACTGAGGCACAGACACAGTTTTAGGGAACTCACAGATTTGGCATACAGCCTTGAGATCACAGTTCTGCTGCTTCTACAGACAGCTCAAGGTCACAGCTGCCCTCAGGTGGCACTGTGACAATAACCATTGATGATCTTCAGATTACTCTGTGCAGAGCCACTAGTCTGGAGCTGGTGAAGTCTGACAGACCCGAGCTACCTCTGCACTGGGCTGTCTACTGCATCCCACAGTAACTCGTAATACATGTTTTCCATCTCCCAGGACGTCCACGGTCTACCCAGGCCCTTCCACTGCCACAGACAAGAGGAATCTGACTAGTCTAGTACTGCCAGCTGGTGGGGAATGTATCTTTCTGCGTCCCTAGCCACACTGATAATAAATTAATTTCCTTTACAGAGGAGGATGACCCTCACAGCGTTAGCAAACAAGCTGAGGTACCAATAGCAATTTTCTTTTTGCAATCTTGAAAAAGAGTCAGCATGGGTTAACACTGAGGGCCCAGGCACCAAGACAGCTGAGCCCTGATAAAAAGAAGCAATAAATGAGTGTCACACAGGTGGTGACGTTTTGGAACAGTCTTGTACACTGCAGAGGAGCAGGATGAACACTGTGGGCTGGAAGGACCTGGCTGAATGGATGGTACCTCTAATGAGTGCAGCAAGCAAATCCACTGAATTCTGCACTGACACACTGTACAATGTGTTTGAGGCAATTACAGTTCAGTACCAAAGCAGTACACCAGAAAAATAATTATGCAACCTGGAATGTGAATTAAAGGAAACGGACAACGCAAAGCTGGAGCAGATGAGAATTCTAAAAGATAAAAGTAGAAAGACCTTAGGGCAAGTGAAGTCAGGAAGACAGGAAGCCAAGGGAAAGGCACACAACTGAAATCAGGGCACAAGACTTTCTGTAATAAAATGAAATAAAAACATAAGCTGGGATGCCAAACAACTTTCTCTAGTATTCTGCCATGCATTTTCTTTGCAAGCAGAAGTGAGGTCACTCTCTCTGACTCAACATAGACTGGTGTAGTGTATGTGAGGATACTGGAGGTACAAACTCAGAGGACTGCATGTTGATGTTCTGTTCCTTATATCTGCCAGTTCACTCCAGAGTGGAAAAAGAACAAAAACTCCAGAATACAACAGTTCACAATGAAGTTAAAATCAGAAAATATAGTCCAGAGCAGCTCCTCATGTAAGTATGCCCACAAGGCAAAAAATATATGGCATTTGGAAGAGCCTGAAGGAAAGAGATGAAGTACTAAGTTGCTGTTCCGGCTCCTTGGAATTAAGGACAGTAAACTGGATAAATTAATTTAGTCCCTTCTCAGCTGGTCTCTGAAACAGCACAAAGTTATAGTCATATTGAAGTTAAAAGGCACTCAAGAACTGGAGTCTGGACAACTTGACAGATTTCATCTTCTAATAGCGATATAAAGATTGGAGAACAGAACAGCCCAGAGAATCTGCCTGATGTTGTACATATGCTGTTATTTTGCATTTAATTTTGTACTCAGAGCTGTACCAGTAGCTCCTGAAAGCATAAGGCAACAATTAATATTGAGACCATAAACAATCAGCACTGCCCATACTACAGCACCTGCTAGCACACAGCTATTCTGACAGGCAATCTTCTCTGAAGTTATTTTCTTCTATTGTGAGAACAAACGTTTCAGTGTTCCTTTAGGCAAAATACATATGGACAGTTGATTCATGGCAGGTGGCATCTCATTCTTCTAACAATACGGAAGATAATATATACCTGTTATTTTAACTTCTGAACATGTTTGACTTTCAGCTTCGTTCTGACTGGCTATTTTTTCCCAGCTACAATCACAAATAGCAGTATATCAAACTGTTTGATTTGGAGGCATTAATATAAATATTTAAGTCAACTGGAAGAAGTAAAGCAAATTCTCAAGAGACCACACAGCACCTTTATCTACCTCAGTAAAGGAAAAAAAACCTCTCTACAAGTCTTAAACTACAGAGCTTATCAATCTCAAAGCACTTCACTGACAGTAGGTGGCTATTCTCAGCCTATAGGAAAAGCCAGGCTTGGCTAGATGCAGGTAAATGAAAAGTGGAGCCAGGAAGATCTTAGATACTAACTTATTTTTGGTGTTACCTACAAAAAACAAAGGCAGAATGGATTTAAACACAAGCATTACATTGAAGTAAAATTTCAACTCTTTTTTTCCTTCTGAACCCCCAGACTTCCAGATCTGTAATAGGGAATGCAGCTGCCTGAAGGGCCAGAGACTAGAATGAAAGCTAGGTCAGTATATCTCCATTATATGCTTAAAGTAGTGGAGAAATTGGTGTGTACGTTCCACATGTATGTAAGAAAAACGAAAAAAGACATGGGAAAAAAAAAAAATGACGACCAATCTTTTGTAAGGTAATGTTCTGTTTTTAAATGTCAGCTTTATCCATCTGAAAGAATATCACCTAGAGAAATAGCTGAACTTTCCCGTGAGTGACAGTGTGCTCTATTGAAGCAGACAGACGGTTTGATCTATGACTGAATTCACCTGGGCCAAGTTCATCCATGGGTATCATATCGCGACTCCCAGCTTTCTCGTTATCTATAAAACAGAAACATTGAAACGACTTGAGTTACATTTGCTTTTCTCAACAACTGGTAGCTTTAAATTAGTCATAGGACCAGAGAGGTCCATAAAGTATTGAACACAGAGAGACTACAGTGAAAAAAACGAACCCAAACCATTCAACTGTTATCCATTCCAAAAGAGAAGTTTGATTTAAGCTCTCCAGAGTGCATATGTAATCCTTATGTTTTCTGCTTTGGCACTGCAATATAGAACTCCCTCTCTTCAAGTCATAACAGAAACTGCAATTCTGCTTTGGACTACCTACCGCTATTAACAAGTTTCTCTCTGGTCTCTCCAGAATAGAAGAGAGAGTAAGTAAGGAAGGTGCAGCTTCACATGGCACACAATCCAATCTAGCAGCTTGATGAGCCAACAGAAAGCTAACCCACAGAGAAAACAAGAAGTTTATTGTCAGATCAGCAAACTGACCCAAGTCATCCTCTGTCTGCATAATCTGCCAGATTTAATCAAAGATAGGGAAGGTGGGAACAGAGAAGGCTGTCCTTTTTGCAATAATCTGCAGTTAAACCAGGTAAAGTGCCACATGGCAAACTCTGCTGTAGGAGACTAAAGATTTCTGAAAAGAAATTTTGACATCTGAGTGTTAGAAACTAGAACCAGATTCAGAGACAAAGCAATGATAATGAAATTACAGCTGGAGCTACACCAGTGTTGGTATGGCTGCATTAGGCTTCATAAACAAGCACAAACAGGTTTAGCTAGAGTCTGGGTAAGTCACCTCCAATGGAAAAAACTGAACGGTAGAGGAAGAAGCACTGCCAAAACAGGCACATTATTTAGAAAGGAAAAGACTCCAGTACTGAGTAAGGGGTAAGGCCAAACCTACTGCCTGGCTGAAGGTGAAATTTATTAATATGTAACATTGTCAAACAAGGCTGTTCATTTTGAAGTTCCAACTCACGTCTATCCCAAATTCTCCCAGGAAGATTTAACTGATTATGTTGCATAAAAGTTGAGAAAACAACATCAGTAGTGTACATTTCACAAGGGAAGAATACTATCCATACCTAGCTAATAGGACTGATCATTTTTGGACTGTGGGGTAAAAACCACCACACATAAAATACATTTTTAGCCCTTCATGCCATAACACAGGTGTGGCAAATCTAGAAAACAAGCAAGCAAAGCACAATAGAAAGTGATAAAGAGCAGAACTGACCCTGACTTTTATCCACCAGAGGCAAAGTGCTGTCGTCATAGCCAGACCTGCCAGCAGTACCTTTGGAACCCTTTGGAGTTGCAGAAACAGACTACAAGACAAAGATCACATAAATACAAAATTGAACAAGAAAAATGAACAAACCAACAGTATGGAGAGAGATTATGGAATGCTGCTAAGCCCCCCTTCTGTTGATAACATGGCACTGGAGTATTTTTTATTTTCATACATATCTGTTGGTGGAATTTTCTTCCTGTTATCTAAATGGCAGCATTGTTGGGTCTGCAAAAGGAGTAAAATCTTTTCACAGGGAAAGATGAGGAGGCTGCATGTTAAGAACAGGTGGCTGTCCTGTGCTGCTAGATGGAATGTTTCAAGTAAGAGACAACTAACAACAGACATGCTAATTCTTCCTCCAATAAAGCACGGGCATTTGGCCTATATGAGGTGCTATAGTTCCAAAACCTAAAAAGCTACATTTCACAGGCCACTGAAAAACATACCCAACAGGTATATGCATGATGCTGTGACTGAATAGATTACAACACATTGTTCTATCACCTTAGAAGAACAGAACCCAAAGCCCACAATCTATCAGATAGACTGCAATATTACAGTAAGTTAGGACATCTTCCACTCAGGTGTTTCCATAACTGAATCTAAGACCCAACATCTTTACCTGGAAGTGTGACTTGTTCCACCCATCCTTCTGCAGGGCATTTCGTAGTTCTTTATAGCTCCAGATCATCTGAAGAACGTGAGATGCTGCTTTTGTTTCTCTGGGAGACTGGCTGATTTGCAAGATAAAATTAGAGCCTAAGTATCAAGCACAAGACTATTCATATGTTGTCCTCTCTGCACAAAAACAATATCCAGGATATACCTAGTACTCCATACAGCTTTTCTTTGAACCTATAAGCTATAGCATATATGTGAAATCATTCAGTGGCTTCTTCATATCTATAGGTATTTGCTGACAAAAAAAAAATCCAAACAAAAAGTTGTAAATTGTGCAGATTTATGGGTTTTCGCATGTATTGCTGGGCACGCAATTGAGGCCAAGGTGACCCTTTTGTCTTGTAGCTGTCATTAACAAGCAACAGATGGAGTCCATCCTTCTGGGATTTATTTGGGGGGGCTGGGGGGCAGCCAAAATGGAAAAAAAAAAAATTTCTAAGCCACTTTTCAAATCTTCACCCCAACTTCCATATATTCTTCACAATTCAATGAAGTTGCTTCATGGTTTAGAATACCTTACAAAGCAATTTGGACCAGCAGAAAGTAAGCAATTTTTAAACAGAAAATGAAATTTTATCCATTCCTTACTAAGTCAGTACATAAGCACCCTCTATAGAAAAATACAGGGCAAGATTCTTGGTTGGCTCTCATGTTTCATAACAATGCAACCCAGCAAAGTCTTCAACTACTCTCCTAGAAGTCTGCTGAAAACACACCTATAAAGAAGCTCATGTCTAACTGGCTGAACTATACAAAACAAACTTTTCTCTAAAGCAGCCAGAACACAATTTTCAACAGAACTGCAGACTGAAAATTTGTCACTTCAAACTACCACCACTAGCCCTTCAGCCAGAACGATTACTGCACATCATTAACCATTTTACTTAAAAGAAGCAGATTTCATCACTGGCATTCCAGGAATGGCAAGCTGTCACAGGAAAAAGGCCTCCCACACTAAAAATAAAGGTCACTGCTTCACTACAAATGATGTCTGCTAAATGCATACATGGTGCTAAGATGTACCTGACAAGGAGTGACCATGTCTTAACATGACTAAGTGACTACTCTTTTTTCTTTAATCAGGTAAACCTATTAAAGGTGCTAACTGTTTTTACTGTGTATATATTAATTGCAGTGAGTTCTTACCCAGTTTGCTTTTAGCTGTCACTTACCTTGACTTGCTGATAGCTACCAGCTTCTGAATGCCCTGTGTCTGGATCAGAGACCTTGCATTTTCCGAGCTGTCAGTAATGATTTCATGGATGGTATTCAACACCGCAACCACTGTATCCTCTTCCAGGTTCTTCGCAGATCTCTGCTGCCTGCTGGGCAAATTTCTTACCAGCTCGCCCATGGCATAACTACCTAGATAAGGGGAAGAGATACCATTAGTCAGCCCTAATAATAATAATAATTTCAGCTTCCCATCCTGAATGATAAAAAACTCAAGTGTGTTTGCCAGGTCAAAAAACTTTATAATGTACATGTTTTGAACCTCAAGACTGTAACTTAGCAGCGTATTTATCATTCGTTATTTCAAGGTGATTGAGAGTTGATACCCAAGACAAACTCCTTCATCACGAATGCTAAAAGGTATTGAAGGGAAAAAAAAAGCAATCTTTACTGATAATTTTACAGCCAGCATCTATCATACTTTGCAATGCCTGAGGCAAAAAGCATCCAGCAGCTGCTGCTAATGCCATATATTCATGCTAATACACATACATGGCTTACTCAACCTTGTAACAGGCCTTCTGGGGCAAGGTGTACAGCCATGCGTTTATTAACCTTCCCCCAACAAAGGTAAGAGCATTTTCTCCTGGGCGCAGTTAGCCTTCACAGTGCATAGTACTGAAGAAAAAACAAGAAGTCTGGAGTTTATCACTCCCAGGTTTCTGTCTGTACCATTTGCCTAACTACACCTCCAAACTATTAAGAAAAGAACCTGATGTATTAAGGCAGAATGCCACCTTGCTATTTGTTAGTATCAACTTGGATGATGGCCCAAAACGTGCGACTAATATTTCCTGGCCTGACAAGGTTATAGTTGAAACAAATACAGCAGTCAAATACAGAAGCATCCAGAGGAAAACTCAGCTCACAGCTGAATCTTTCAAGATTCCTGCTTATGGGCAGGTGAATGCTTATTTACCCCCGTAGATAGGAGCTAGTGAGCACTACTGAAGAGCTAACTTGAAGAGTAAGTTGTTTGGTGTCCAGCTTCTGCAAGTAACTACCACACAAAAGGATAAGAAGGAAAGGAGGAAGCAAGAAAAAAGGGACAACTTTAGAGCCCACTGCGTTTCCACAGGCTATCTCAGCATTCCTTGGGCAAGGCTCCCGTTCTAATCTAACTAGCAGGCCTGAGGAGCAATGTCTCTGTAACCACCACATGTGAGTAGGAACTCAAGTGCCATGTCAGCCAGAACTAAGGAAGAGACAAAAAAACCTCTTAACGCACCCAATCCTCTGCACACCTACATACACTCCCCTGTCCTGCAAAAAATCTACATCTGTTTTTACTCCCGAGTTAGAGATTTCCCTCGAACCACAGCTTGTTTGAAATACATTCTGAGATGACAGTGCTCCACTTGGTGGCTACAGAGTAATCTTAGATAGTGTGGGTGGAAACTGCATACAAAATGAATCCTCAGCACAAGTGACAGAAAATGTGAGGTCTCTCAAGGGTATCCAAGATCCCAGCCTGGTTAGAAAAGTTCAGAAAGTACCTATAAGATCTTTATTGCGACGATCCATGGAAAGGTTTCTCAGAGCAATTGACACAGCCCTCACAACCTTGTCAGAGTCGGACTGCAGCAGCTCCACAAGCACTGGTAAGCCTCTCTCCTTCCGCACTGTTGCACGGATGTACGTGGACCACTGATCAGAAGACACAGGGGAAAAGAAACAACACAAAGGATTGTGAGTTCACATACCTGCCCTTCCTTTCCTTGCCCCTGGCATTTCTTTTAGTGCTGTAATTCATTTTTTTCCCCTGCAAAGCCTAGTTAGGTTGTGTGTGCCAATGCATCCATAACTTAACCCATCATTCAAGTTCATCAAGCACCAAGGAAGAAAGGATGTAGAAGTTCATCCTATAGCTTAGGAAGCTGCTGGCGAAAAAGGACAGAAATAGAAGGATGGAGCTTCATCTGCCAGCATCTATTCTGTACAGACCTCAGTGTGAAAGAACATCCTTCTGGATTAGGAAAAAAGAGGTCATTTGGAGGGAACAGTAAAGCATCCAAAGCATCTGTTATCTTCCCACACCTCCAATTTCATGCTTTTATTCTGTTTCATGATTGATTTAAAAATAAACTGTATTCAAGACAGCTGTGAAACACCACTCTCTTGATCCTCAGGCTGCTGATCAGTCCCACTTTGCCATGCGGTTCTAGAAGTGATCAGGCATACCTTTGAGAGAACCGCCTGATTAGTGCTGTGGATGCTTCAGAAAGGATATCAGAGGACACTTTGGAGTGCAGTTTCCTGAGCAATCTGACAATCCAATGAATTAAGTATTCAGGACACTTAATCATCTAAAACCAGGCTTTTCTAAATGGACAAAGCAATGGTTAAGTGGTTAAGTGGAAAATCTGTTCACGGTTAAATTGTCATGAGTTCAGTGACACTTCCACTATGTAAACACCATCTATCCAGAAGAAGCAAAACATCTTAAGTGGGCAAACAAGATGGAGATAGTTTCGTTGGAGTTCCCATCTCCTTCCTTTTTGAAGGGAATGTAAATGCACAAACGGTGCACTTACAATGGGACACAGCACTGTTCTTTACTTACACAAAGGAAACGAAAGAGACTAAAGAGAAGACTGCACTCACTGTCCAGTTGCCAGCACTGAGATTCTGCAAAGCCCCTGCTGCAGCTTCCAGAGTGTTGAAGTTTTGACTTTCGGTGAGGATGGAGAGGTACAGTCGGACCACATCTGGCTGGTACAGTAATTCAAAGCCTGCAGGTAGGGGAATGGGAGAACAGAAGCAAGAGAAGCAGAGAAGGCAACGTATGAATAAACACGTAACATACCTTCATTTAATCACATATGAGAACAGCCAAGAGAAAGCTACATCACAGAAAGTAGGGCTTCTGCCATATCCAGGACATCTTATCCACAGCTGTTGAAAAAGGTGCACACAGGAACTCATGCACAGGATGTTCACCTGGGCTGAAGGATCTTTTGCTTGTTTTCAGGCTGACCATTCTTTTTGAAATCGGTGCTACGTTATTTACTGCCTAGCAGGCTGAGTATACGTGTTGTAACAACAAGGTGATGAGACAATTTTTGTCTGCAACAGTTCTTTCTTTGCATCTCTAGATTGGGTTGCAAATTAACCTTGCGCTCCTGTTTTCATTCAAATCTTAGTACCTTTACAGACACAAACAACAGGGCCAAATAAGCCAAGCAAGCTACACATTCATATCAGCCACCCCCTTCTCACACCTACGTGACAAAAGAAAGATGCAAGCTGTCAATTCCCAGTTGGTAGGGACAGGGAGAAATGCTGACTCCAGTTCAAATATTAAGTAAAGAAATCATACCACACTGGGTGACAGACACACACGTTAACTAAATATGCCCAGAGCCACTGGATCAGCTTTGCAGTTTAAGCACGACAGGAATGAGAACTATTCCCAGCTCTGCCACAGATTTCCTTTTGTGATGCCGAGTAACTGACAGCAGCATCCGTGTCTTGACTTCCTCATCCAAAGGATTAGGATTTATCCATCCGTCCATATTAAAAAAGGGGATCTTGGGCAAGAACTTCATCATTCCAAGTTGTTGCATATTTTGAAGGCATTTTTACCTGTCTTTCTTCACTAAGTGTGGCATGACACACTGCATCAATGAGGGAAGAGTATGCAAGCACTCTGTTGAAGGACTTGCCAGACAAACATGATCTCAAAGATCATGGTGCTGTCCAGATTATATGAACAAAAAACTAAGTCCCCTAAAGTGTCTTAGTGAGTGCAGGAAAAGCAACCTATGGTCGACATAAACTCATCTGCAGTCACTGTAGCTTGAAGATATTTCTGGGTTGGTCGCTTTTAGGGTGTTTGCAATAAATAAAAGTTCAGCTGGCATTACCTAGGGAAA